ATCTTGCCATCGCTTAACTGGCTTTTTATTGCACTAATAAATTGTCTTTTCTGATCGATTTTTGGTATTAGCATCCAATTTCCTTTGGTACCACTGTCCAATGTGGTTTTCAGATCGATTACAAATAACTCTCTTAGATGGTTTCCTTTGACAGAAAGGAAAAGTTTACATTTCTCCATCTCTCTCTCTCTCTCTCTCTCTCTCTCTCTCTCTCTCTCTCTCTCTCTCTCTGGCTTCTACCTCCCCTACCTATAAATTCTTTTTCATACTTATGTGCCTGTGTAAAAATATACACTTGTAAAATATGGAAAAAGTCTCCAAGATTAACTTCCTAAAAGCCTTTATAATTTTAAAATATGACAGTTAATTTTGATAAATTTTAATCTCATAATCATTGGAGTTTTTCTGGGATGTTTTTTGTTACCTTTCTAAAAAATCCTGAACCAACCTTATTCCATTTCACTTTTTTCTGCACCATCCAAGGACAACCTTCCTACTCTACTCCACAGCAAGCACAGTCAAATAGTTCATATCCCTTTACCCTTGCCCTTTAATGGGGTCTTACCCTAGTCCCCATGATAATGCTTTATAAACACAAATCATATTAAGATATTCCACAAACCCTATTTTCCATCCCCTAGTACTCAAGGTAAAACTCAAAGTCTTTGAAATGGACTTCAATGGATAACATAAAATGCCTAACATTGATTTTGTAAAGAACCAAAGAATAAATATTTCATGCTTTTCAAAACAAATAGTCTGTCTCCACCACTTAATTCAAAACAGCTAAGGAAATGTAAATGAACTGCTCAGTTTGTCCACAATTTTATTTATAAAAGCAGGCAGTAGACATATACGGCTTATTGGCCATAGCTCTTGGACCCCTGTCCAATATCTTTATTTCCTGCTTTATTCTCTTCATAACACTTACCATCATCTGCCATACTGCTCTTAACTTGTTGGCTTTATGTTTCTCACAACTAGAATATAAATTACATGAGGGAGTATACTATTTTTATGGAGTATCTGTAATAGAGTGCAATGCCTGGTCCATAGTAGTCTTTTAGTGAATATTTACAGAGGGAATAAGTGAAAGATGCATAAATAAATGAATACACTAAACATGCAGACATGATGATCACTGGAGAAGTGCTGGCTGGTATACACACACGTGCGCGCACACACACACACACACAGAAAACTCAGCTCTTCAGCTCACTGTCCATATCACCACGCACGTACCTCCTTACATTGATTAAACATTTCTCAGCATGCCATTTAGATTTCTTAATCACGAGGGCAAGTATAAATTAGAAAAAGTAGAGAAGAATTTAATGTATAACATTATATAGCTCAAAGCCACTCTATTCCATTACATCCTGATAATAGTCCAATATAGAGTCAGAGAATAAATATCATTTATCAACAATTAAAGACAAGACAAGGAGATTAAATAACCTTGGGAGGAACCGTAGAAACTGAGCCATTCATAGAGCTCAGGCTAGAAGGGAGGCACAGGAATGTCTCGAAGCAATCAAGCCACCATAGCTCTTTTTCTCCTACGGTACATTTATTTTTCAGTAGTTAAGGTTTTATGTTTTACAATAAAAGGAAAATATATTCAAGGGGAGAAAGCAAGAGGAACTCTGGCCCTGAAATACTTTGAAAAGTGGAGGGCGAGAGCAGGGCAGTTAAATTCACCCATCCCTGAAAATAATAACTCTCAAGGCTTTAATAAGAGAATTATTGGCTGATAAATGACATTTGGTATTAAGAGTGAAGAATTAAGGCAATATTTCTAGGAAGGTAATAAAACCCTTAAAAATAATCAATCATTTGAAATCCTATGGCCTCTGTTTTTCTAGAGGCTCTTTCCCGGGGCTTTGGCAAGGTTCACTTGCAGTCTTGAAAACACTTCTGTGCCTGCTTCCAACTTCCTGCTTAATCGTGATTTGGGGAAGCAGCACCTGCTGGAAGAGGAGAGAAGGGAGCAGGAAGGTTTCTGAGGTCTCACATCTTGGGTCAACCAGCTTCTAAGGAGAGAAATGAAAATACGAAATACTGCTTTCCCCACAGATCATTCCGATCTCTGACATTTGGTACGTTAAGTCTTTGTTTCCTTTGGAAGCAAAAATCAACATAAATTCAACATAAATGCTTCATTTATCATTCCAAACTACCAGCTGAGATGCGTGACCTCTATATCTGCACTGTGATTTGTATGTAAAGGCAGACTTCAATGGTTTCTGGCATGCACTTTGGGACTCCTCGCTTCTCTTCATTATCTGCAACTTTGCAAACAGAAAAAAACTAAATAGCCAGTTGAAAACTTTTAATGCAATCAAAGAGACCCTAGAAAATAAACTGCTAATTTGAAAGGGTTCCCTGGGAAATGAGTTGAGAAAGATCGAGAAGCTGTGTCCTGCTCAGCCAGAGACGCTACACTCTAGGAGAAGAAAAGTCCCTTGCTGCGGGCTGGCCACCCTCCTCCCAGCCCCTTCCAGCTGGAATTCCCACGTGCTACTCAAGCCATTCCGCAATCGTGCTTCCTCTTTTCCAAAAGGTCATTCATTTTGCTCTTTTACTTAAATGTAGCCCATCCAAAGCTGTGTCACACTGCACACTTTAACCCTCTTCTGGGAGCTCCAGCCTCTCCTGCCTTCAAATTTCATTCCACATTGCCACCCTCACCTTTCAGATTAGTGTTTCCTGTTACTGTCTGTGCATTGAGTATTTTATATGTAATCGTCTCCTCTCTTTTAATTTCAGGGCAAGATTTAGGGTTCGGGTGTCTTTGAATTGTTGAACGGCAAATTCCACATGATGAATGGGTAAACATACTTTAAAATAAATTTTTAATTGCACTAAAAGCTTTCAACTGATCATTGACTATTGTTTTTTTTTTTTTTTCTGATTGCGAAGTTGCAGATAATGAATAGACACGAGGAGTCCCAAAGTGCATGCCAGAAACCACTGAAGTCTGCTTTTACATATAAATCACAGTGCAGACATAAAGAGGTCATGCGTCTCAGATGGTAGTTTGGAAAGATAGATAAAACATTTATGCTAAATTTACATTGATTTTTACATCCAAAAGAAACATACAACAAATGATTAACTCTTCACTTTCTTTTGGTGTCTTCATGCTCTCCATGTTCTTTGGAATTTCTAATCACATATGAAATAAAACTGAAACTTTCTGTCATGGCATACAGAGTTATTTCTGGTTTGGAGCCGGTCTGTAAGTCATCCTGCTTACATCTCACTGCTGCCATTTCTATTACCCATGCTACCATTCTGCAAAACCATGCGTATGTGTCCTTGATATTAGGGTGACACTGGGCTGCCAGGATTCCCTCAAGTTCACCTCATTTTGCTTTATACATCCTTAATAACTCCTAACGTTTTCCCTTGGGCATGTGTGGTCCTTTATTCCATTACCTAAGTGCATCACTCTCCCCCAATTCTCAAAGGCTCCGCTCGGTGACAGCTTCTCTGAAGCATGTCTGATCTGCCTCTAGAATCCTATTTGATGTGACAGCACAGCCACTGTTCTTACACAGCCTTCTGTAGCAATACCTATGACACCTTAGCAGCAGAGGGTACTGGTCTATGGGGCTTTCACTCCTCCAGAGGAAGAGATTGTTGACATACATATCTTACTCACCATTATCTGCCAGAAGCATTTAGTAAGTATAGAAGACTAGATGAAATTCCCAACTTAATTTAAAATAATCTTAATGAAGAAATAAGGGTTCCCCCTTTATGGAGTTTAAAAATGTATTTAGAAGAGTTAATTGAGTATACACTAAAAAATACAAATAACTTTGACAAATGATATCAGTTCTCTGAATCTCAAAAATTAAAAGGAATTAAGTGGTAAAAGATGATCAATTACTAAGAGGGCAAAAGGGAATTGAACCTCTCCTGGGCATCTTACCAGGACAGGAAGATGTCATGTCATTGTGACACATCCATACACGTGTCTACAGTGACCAAGTCTCCACAGCTAAATCTTGAGAGCAGCCTATGTGCCCAACAGACAGATGAATAAAGAAACTGTGGTATTTACATTCCATGAAGGACCGCCCTGCCATAAGGAAAGACAAATTTGAGTCATTAGTAGGAAAAGGAATGCACCTTGAGACCATAATATTGAGAGAAATAAATATACAGAAGCTTAAATATTGGATAGTTACTCTTCTTGGAGAAACCCAAATTATAAATAGAGAGAAAAATAGGAAACATAAAGCTAGATCTTTCTCAAATAGGGACGAGCCCAAGGGATTGAAGGGTCTAAACGGGGGAGGGAGAAGGGGTTAAAAGAAATTAAGATGTGCCGTGCATAGGTACCAACTCCACACAGGGAGCGTAAACATTACATACTGCAAACATCTACTAGTAACCAAGATTTTAAAAAGAAGCAAAAACGCTAAACAGCTCCAAAATTGCAGGTATCAAAGAGCTGCTGCTACAACTTGGGAAAGGCCAGAGGATAATCAAGGGACCAGAGAGGCAGAAAAGAAATTCTTAAGACTGACATTCAGGTTTCTCCAAAGAAACAGGTTCTGAATCTCAAGCAAAGATGTCATGGACTTGCCCCACTCAGAAACTGCCCCTGGCTAGGGAAAAGATAACCTGGGATGCTAACTCCGTTCTGTAACCATGCCACTGCTCAGTGATGGGACCGCCGTGCTTTCCCTGAATTGACAAATGGAAAGTCAGAAAGAGAAGTATCTTTCTGCTAATACCATCTTGCATTGTCTCATTAGCGCCGCCATCTGCAAAGATTAAAATCAATCCAGCAGGCAAAGGAGAAATGCTTGTAAGGTTCAGCTCTATTTTTATAAAATAGACCCAAAAAAGGTCCATTTGGAGTTGAAAGATAATAAATTGAAAGGTGGTACAAAGAACAAGGGAAATGAACATGTATGGAGTGATCAAAAAATACACTGAATGTTTAAGTTTTAAAATTTTATTTTAGTAAAAGGCATAGTGTCACTAGTACCCCTCAAAACACCACCTCTCACAACTTATCCTAATGTGTCTTTGCCATCTTCTGAAGAAGTTTGGGAAGTCTATTTTTATGAAAGCCTTTGTGAGGTGTGATTAAAAAATACAGTAAATGCTGTTGCTGTGTGACACTCAACAGAAAGACAGCTCTTAACAATAGTATGGTGCATTTTCATTCACCTAATTCACTGGGTTGGCTACTGCAAGCTCTGGGTTTTTCTCAGAGTCAAAATGACCATGAAAGGTAAACCATGACAGCAAAAGTGAAGACACTCATGAAAGAGGATTTCCAGAACTGCCTCAGAAAGTTACAAGAACAATGGGATAAACATATTTAAAATGGGGAGGTGTTGTAATCAGGGGCTGTGAGGAGAACAATTAGAATCAGGACATGGAGTTTACAATATTATTTATGGTGGTCACCCAGAGTTAATACAAGAAACTGCAGGAAATCTATCCACAACACTAAAGCCAGAATATTTAGCCAAGGGTCGGAATCCCACAGCAATGTCCTGCATGAGTCTAGATGAAGACCCAGAGCTCATTACAGTGCCTCCCATGAGTCCACCTGGAGGTCTAGAGCCCACCAAAAGGACTCACGCCAGTCTCTCTTATGGATCCATGCCAGGAAGGCCCAAAGATCAGTGGTAGAAGCCAGAAAGTCTATGCCAGCGGGGTGAAGGAGCTGTGCTGGTGGGTTGAGGGTTCTACACTGGAGCCGAGAAGTCACATTCACAACAAAGACCAGAGCTGTCCTGAAAAGCACCCATCCATCCTCAGCAACATGGAGGCCCCGAGCTGCTCCAAGGACAAGAAGTCGGATACATGTCAGGAAGCCAGTGTGACAAGTCCATCCTGGAGACCAAGCAGCACACGTCGTCCCCTTTGGAGCTAGGAAGCAATGCTCGATGTGAGGACCAGACCTGGAGGATATTTTGAGGAGGACTAGAGGCAGTTTGTCTCTTACTGCTATTAGTCTTTATTTTATTTAAAACTCCAGGGGTATCACAGAATTTTTTGAAAAGTGTGTTATGCCAGGCATATAATGCTGACATATTTTAGAAGTATTTCTATTAATGAACTACTAGTTTTAATTTTATGAGTTTTATTATATTAAACAATATATACTTAACAGGTAAGTAAAATATCAATAAACTAAAATAAAATAATAAATTTTCAATATGTAATGAGTGTTTAGAACAAACAACATTTTCAACATCAACCATTTGCTTGGTTAGAAGATCTAAAAAACAGCAGAAATAAATTCCCATGTGAGTGACCATAAAAATACAAACAGAACTCTACCACAGAAATAATCTTTGCTTCAATGATCACATCTAATCAGTCTTCACACACGAGAAGAGCGTGTTCCATACACAAGCATCACTTACACTGATAGCATGTGTGTTTTGTTTTCCTGTAATCTCTGGCAGGACATAACTTCCTAGCTATCTGATCTGCCTGTTGGCTTTGGAGGCTCTTGTGGTGTGTTACCTGTCTGTCCACTGGTTTGCCCCAGAATTCTTTCGCGTTCTTTGAACAGATACATACTGTTCTTCTTTTATGGTAGCTGACCTGCTACAATTTCAACCCCAATCTTGTAAGAAAACTTCTCCATGACATTTTTCACCTGTTATTTTCTTTGTAAACTATGGAACTAGTTATTCCTGTCATGTTTAGGGTTGAGTGAAACACTTTATGTTTCCAGTAATATCAGAGTTGTTGCACAACTCAAAGAAGAAACAAAACATACACTAGATGTTGTAATAATGAAAGGGAAAGAAACTGCTCAAAAGGACAGAGCTACTGGGTTAGGGGAAAGTAGAAAAAGGAGAAAGGAAAAGTTCATTGCATGTTGGTAAACATACATAAATGTACGTATGTATATGTATGCTAGGTAGATACCTATATTTTTAATCTCTCTTAGTTCATCAAAAAGAACGGTTTGTGCTGTCATTGTTTGATTGATCACTTTTGCATCTAGATTTTTAGGGGGATCAAAGTCACCACCTCATGCTCTTCAGGAAGGCACTTACACTGCTGAGCTAAATTCCTGACTGTATCTAGATTTTATAACCTGAACAACTAGCTCCGAGATCCCATTGTGGAATACATTCACTAGCATTAACTCCCTTTTTTTTTTTTTTCTTGTTTGAAATTCCGTATCATTTCTATTCTTTTTTTTCTATTTTGCTTTTTAAAATTAAAAAAAAAAACTGAACAGGCATTTACTCTACCTTGTGTTTTATTGTAAAATACAACCGTTTCTGTGTTCATTTGCATTGAGGATTTACTATCAATCTGTTTATCTGCTTGTTTGTTTATTTGTTTTGAGACAGGCTCTCAGTACGAAGTCCACTTCAGCCTTGAACTCACAACTGCACAGGCTGACTTTGAACACACAGGATCCTCCTGCCTCAGCCTTCTGTGTGCTGGGACGAGGTGTGTGCCATCCTGCCCAGTTTCACTATCAATCTATCATCATGATGTAACAATAGTAGTATTCACACTACTTTGTTTTCTTCCACCATGTAAGAGGCCAATGTTATGTCTTTCTGAAATCCAAGGATTGTACTATACGTTTCTTTATTGTGAACCTCCAATGGTTTTTCAGAAACTTAGTCTTTGTTCTTGTGAGTTAGTTCCTGTACCGGTCAACTGGTGGTCTTTTAGCAAACATCACATTAATAACTAATGAACCAATTGTCAAATGTGATTTGGGGACTTTTTAAAATAGGTGCAACAAATCTGTTCACAAAGTCATAGAGTTTTTACTGCAAAGATAAATACCTGATGCTCAGTTCCAGTCAAATTTCTAAATTCAAGATGTAAAGTGCCTTCACATGAACCAAGGTACACACTTTTATACCATATTAGGAGTTCAGTTGGCATATATTTCTGAAACCTTCAGCAACCACAAAATGATGCAAATTGTCCATCAGTGGTCATGTATTCAGATGGTACATAAATTGCTTGACAGTTTCAAACAAAGCTTTTAAAAATGAGTGAGCAGCAGCCAAATTGTTGGACTTTTTTTTATTCTTAGTTGATCTTTTTGTCATCAAAACATAGGCAATTTTGAAGGAAACCAGACCTCTTGAGTGCCATTATTGCCCTAAAAACCTAATGACACATCTGTAATTTCTCCATCTGTTCTTTAAATTCTGACACTTAGCATGATGGTGTCTTGCTCTGAAGACCTTTAGTTCAGAAATGAGATGTCATAGTGAATATATTTTTGAGTACTAGGATTGATGCATATAGAATGTTTTATTTGTATTTCATTATCAGAGTATTTTTAAAACATCTTGTACCATATCATCCACTACAAAGAATTCACAAAACTGAATCACAGTGTTGGCATTCCGTCCAGTAGGTTTTACCCCTGTCCAAGAACTTAACAACATTTACTGACCTAGTTGTAACATCATATCGTTCAGGTATACAAAACCATTTCGTAGCATTTTGACTAGTTGAATATTTATTTACATTATTGATTTCTTCTTCATCTAAATCAAGACCTTCCTTCTGTCCTTCTCTGACTACCTTGTGAGCTTCTTCAGCTTACATGATCCAAGTTATCACCAGGAGCCTAGTCTGTCACTTGAGACTCACTTCCCTAAGTTGTCAAAGTGGATTTTCAAGCAATATTGTACTGAACTGTGCTAATTCTACAAGAAAAATCAGAAGACAACATTTAACAAAAAATTATAGATACACAAAAATGTAGTAGTACATAACATGGGAAATCTCACTTTGTAAATTTGCAAAATGTAAATTTATGCTTTGATACATTTTCTCACACCTTGCTGTTCATTCATTGTAATAAGATGAGCACAGAGTGCTTCCTGTATCCCTCAGCATAGCTACTGAGATGCACAGACAGCTATCATTATGCCAAAGTGTGTATTTTAATTTTTAAAAAATATGGTAAGAATATCTGAGCCCCAATATGAGGAACCAAGCATGAACTCTATTTTTATCCACATTTCATGATGTAAAATGAAAAAATAAGGATGTACTATAGGTAAAAATAATCTATTGTATTTCAGTTTCGAAAAGTAATGTTAAATGCCTTTTTAATTCAATTTTTTTTTGTTCCAGGAATCAAACTCATGACCTTGTGCTTGGCAAGCAGGCGCTTATGCTGCTGAGCTAAATCCCCAGCACCTTTTTAATTCTCTAGAGACCAAAAACATTTAACTTGCAACAGTGCAAAGTAATACTTCTTGGATTTTAATTGATTACAGGTTTTGAATCCTGAGAGAGAATGTATCTCTTTTTCTAAAGTTGCAATGTCGAATTTAAGGTCAGTTTATGAAGCACAAAATGATGAATTTGAAGTAATTAAAATATTATCAGGATTGTTGAAGAATTTTTTAAACATAAATCATAATAGAAAATATTTTTCATAGAATTTTTTTTCCTCTGTATTAGATGGATGAGAGAACATGGAAGACTAAAAATAACAATGGGAAGAAGAAATACCTCAATCTGTTTAATATGCCAGCTAAGCAATGATAATTTCATTTAATAGAATAAAAGAAAATAAACTTACATCACGGAAAGAGCAATCAAAGTCATTTATTAACATTTGACAATGGGCCACAGAATACTAATGTAACCTAGTCACAGTTTATTTCATTGTCCTTTAAATCTGCCCATGTGTATCTGTCCAGTACCTGTGGCCTTTCCCCCAACTCCCCATCACCAAGATGAATTAAGATATCAAGAGCTCCATTGTGCACGTTGTATGTGTCATTCCCGAGCCATTTACTCATCTTGAAATCAATTTAGAGAAGCTTCGCTTTCTCAAGTTCAGATGGGTGAAAAATGCAGAGAAATCCGTGGAACCCACAAATTGAGAAAGTTTCTAAAGGATCCCTCGTGAGTCACTGAGAACTGGTTCCCTAAAATAAGCATAAACATTTTTCTCAGACTGATACCTGCTCCCAAGGGAGGTGAAGAAGTGTGAGACCTGACAGCTAGGCTTAGTAGAGTAGTGGCATCAAGGGTATTAACTCTTAATTGTATTTTTCCACACCAACTTTTGGAGCAAAGGTCCTAAGTGTCTGTGGCAGGGCTCAGGCTGGTATATTTCTCTTCAGTTTCAAATCAAACCCACGCATCTTGGTGTTCTCTTTCTTTTTTATAATCCTTATACCAGAAGGTTTCTTCTTCCATTTGTCTTGGATGACCTCCCACACAGGCCACCAGATTTCACCAAGGAACAGAGCACAGCCCACTAGAGACGCTTACTTTTCCTGATGCAACAGTACCCACGATACATTGCTTTTTCTCCGGAGCGAACTAATCTCAGTACATAACGCCGTGGACTCCTCTTGAAAGGGCTCACTAAGAAAAAGCCGTCCCTCCCTCTTTGGGAACATCTGGAAGGAATAATTCCATGTTTCAAATCTGTTAGCTCCCGTCTCGGCCACAGCAAGACACCTGGCTGCCAGACACGCACGCAGGCTTGTCAGATTCTGTCAATTCGCCATCAGCACAGAGGGCCCTTGGACTGGGGTGGCCCGAAGGTGGAATGCTTACCAGAGAAAATAATCACATTCTGTGCTGTGTCCCTGAACAACGATCATTAGAGGAAATTGATTAGCCAAACCCTGTTATTTTTCTTAGTGTCCAGTAAACATTCTTCTGACCTCTTGCCCACATCATTAGGCATTGCTAGAAAAGTGAACCAGGATCACATTTCTGAAATGCTCCGCAGACAGACATCGGTGTTCACATGTGTTTTCCTTAGGATAAATTTAAGCAACTTCTATGGATCCCTGAGCATGAAGATTTTTGCAGAGGATTCACCACCTGTCCCAGGAAAGGTTTGTATGCTTAGATAATGTACTACAGAATTTTTAATGAAGGCCAGGTACTTC